TGTCTTACTCAATGCTGCCCGCTCCTGAGCATGGTTTAGACAGCTGCCAATACACTGCATAATTTTCAGTAATTTTTCAGAGTTTTCTGAAGGAGACTGTAATTTTGTCTGTTGTCACAGTTACTAATGTTCCTGGAATCACAGACACAGTTCTGAAAATGAGCCATGAATTACATTAATCTCTTCAAGAGGGAAAGAAACAGAAGGACCTGTTGTCATTTTCAAATCCAGCTGACAAGGATGAACAGACTTTCCCAAAAAGAACTTCAGAAATTTCTGTTGCAAGCAAATATCTTAAGTAGTTAGTCCACATGGCTGCCAGTCAGGTCCTCACAGCCAACCCTTGGGATAAGTTTCTGGTTAAGGGCTGCTGGAGGGAGATATCTTGTGCAGTGGCTAAGGGTAAGTTCCTGGCCTGGGTATTTACTTCTGAATGCACTTTGTATTTGCTTCTTAGGGAAGGCCATGAGGAGTTTGACCTGAAGGACCACCACACCTCCCGCTATCATCTTCCTTGCAAACAGAAGTGACCATGCTTATGGGCAGAAAAGGAACTGAAGAATGGGAAAACAGAGGAGCCGGCCAGATGCGAAGAATCTAAGTGGATTTGCAGCCAAAACGGGTGATGTTTTGGACAGTTAAAGGATGTGCTGTAATTTGAGAGAGTCTTGGAGGGCATATGACTTGGTCTTCACAAATACACCTGAGAAGTGTAGGGTTTGCTGTGCATACTTGGGAATAAATGAGGACTTGATATGAGGAGGTGGATACAAATCCATAAATAAAGATGGTAAAACAATGTAGCAGGAAAGATGCGTGTTTAAGGCAGTACTGACTGGCTGATAAATAACTTCCTGCTTTTACTAACAGCTTACACACTGGTTCAACAGGCAGGAAAGCACTTTGCACCAAGAAAAATGTCTGCATTGTGATCATGTGTGTGATGGGAATTTGCAAAGCATAATAAAAGTTATTTACAGAGGCCTGTGGTTAAAGTCTCTCCTGAAAATGCCTGATAGTTCTTAACAACGTGTTGCTTTCTTATAATGGTATGTTAGTCCTAGTATCAGGTGGCTTAGGGAAAGAAATGAAGAATAGTGAAGTCATCAAAAATGTTTCTGTGGCATGTCTGGAAAAGATACGGGGCAGTGTTGCTCACTGACATGAAGGGAAGGATCCTTTGAAAATATAATCTGCTACCGATACAGTGTTATGGCCTGCAGTGGCTGCGCCAAAATCATGTAATCTGTAAGAGCAACATGTTAATCTGAAAGAGTTGAGTATTAGTCTGAAAGCAGGATTTTACTTTGTTTATTATTTGATACCCTGGTAGGATAAAGATATTACCTGTGTGATGCTCTTCATCTGGTTATGAGAGAAGCTTAGTTGCCTATGTCCATATCCCTCCAGGAAGACAATCCAGATGCAAGTGGCACTTCCCAGTGCCCAGAACACCCAGAATTGCTTCAAATACCCAAGTAAACTGACTGTAAACATGCTCTATTATTCCATCAGGATGAACTCTTTCCAAATAATGTGACTTCTGAGAGAGCTCTCTAAGGCTGACAAATTCCAATTGCAACAAAATAAAGGATTTGCCCTTGACAGGGAATTTCCAATGAATCTTGCCTGTCTGGTTTGACACTACCACTCCCAGCTGTCTGCCTTGCCCCTGTGCTTAAGGTCAGTGCCTCCGAGGTGAAATGATGAAACAGTGTTTACCTGCACCTCTGGTCAGAGGACAGCATTAAACCACTGTTGAAGGTGAATTTTTGCTAATGTGTTGCTGGATCAGACTCTTCAACAAAAACCTGATTCAAGCAATGTAGATAGAGTAGTAACACTTTAGGTTAACACACTAAAAATGGCAAGTGTATCCATCAGTGCCATTAAAACCCTTTCTTAGGTAGGGGTGGCAAAACCTGACTTTTGTGGAGGATCTTTCTTCTCCTGGTAGCCCTTGCTTCACCAGTGCCTGTCTCCTTGGGACAGGTAGATGAGAAAACTACTTGGGTTGTTCTGATGCAAGAGCTCACAATTAACCCTGTGATACACAAAATTTAAGTACATTATTTAAATAAGCCCTGAGGAGCTTGCAGTCTTAAATAAAGAACACCATTTTGTTTTGATTTTTATGTTATCATAGGAGTGACACTTTTTCATTGCTATTTGACATGGAGAATTAGTCTGATAGTAAGACAGCCCAGTTCTGAGGTTAAAGCCTTCATGTTTTACATATACAGGGGAAGGTGCAACTATCTGTTCTTATTTCTCTCCTAAATTGATCCACAGCTTTGAGCTTCAGCCTGTGTCTTCTCCAAGCAGTTAGTAGTAATTTTATTTCTTGATTTACAGCTGATGTTTTTTTTCAATATCTTAGTATGAGTTGGTATGATACTTGCAACATTTTTGAATGCTTCATCAGCCACAACAAAACTTTGAGCTCCCTTGCAGTTAGGCGGCCTCTTGTAAGCCCTGCCCTGTTCACATCAGTAGTAATGGAGCAGGTTGCAGCCGGAAGCAGTTTATTTAGATTCCCAGATTGGTTTCTGTGGGGCCATCCCAAGGAATCCAGAAATGCACCCAACCCATTACCTGAAATAGAACTTAGTCATGCATGGAAGACTCTCTTCAAGTCATACAGATGCAAGCTACTGCTTTCCCTGCACCACTAATGGACATTTTTGTGGCTGCTGCACTTTCTGCATGTAATGGGGTATTTTAGTAGTAGCCCAATAACCTTCCCCTGAAAAGCCATTCCCACTGTAGCTGTTGCCTCAGTGAACTCCATGTAGGATGGGCAGAGGGGTATCCAGATGGGCTGTCTGCAGGAAGCATACCTAGCTGAATCTGTGTTGTGAAAGAGGAATGCTGCATGACCTTTAAGTGGGCAGTGCACTGTTAGCTGTGTTGCTTACTCCCTATCCTTGTCTTTGAAAAGGTGCTGGTAAACAAAGATACTGGTATCAGTCAATTCCTAACAGGCTAGATCAGGCTTCAGTCATAGGTGTTCAATGACAGAAGACAGGCTGGCATCTTCCAGAAAGAGATTCAACTTGTTTGCTCTTGTCTTTGTAGCAAGTCATGAGGGATTTTCTTTCCCTCTCAGCATGTTTTGTATGTGAATTTGTATGTGAATTATCAAATTATCTCCAACAAGAATTCAAATTAGAAAAGCTCATGAACTTTCATACATTGGGTTATCTGGGTATAATCAAGAGGGCAAAGTTCCTTTCAAGCAACATTCTTAGATAGTATCTACATACTTATGCTAGTGGTGGTGCTGAGAAACAGCAATGTTAACTGGAAGATGTTTGCAAAAAAAAATTTTTCAAGGATTGATTTTAATCTATCCTTGTGGTCTAGTGTGAAAGTAGCCAAAACATAAATCAAGCCAAGTGTGATTTACTACTGCTTAAGAATGAAACAAAAAAGAAGTTACTCTGATTGCATTACATTGTTTTTTCTTTTGCACCACTGAGCTGAGAAACCATCTACCACTGGCCACGTGTTGCCTTTCTCCCCTGATCTCAGTGTGCATCATTTCAAGTGCTCTCAGGTATCATTATGTATCAGAACCAAGTGCACATGATAGGATCTGCATCTTACTCCTTTCCTGCTACTTGCAGAATAAGCATGAAGACAACTTTGGTCAAACAGAGTATTCAGAACCTGCTTTGTCATTGATTCTAACAATACCTTAAAGCACAGACAAAACTTCTTTTTGCATCACTCCATACTGAGGGAATACAGAACAGTTCCCAGGGGGAAGAAACTATTTCTCTTGGGCCAGAGGAGAGGCATGTCATGTCTTTGTGCTGTTGCAGCTCAGCAGAATAAAACAAAGCCTGTCAGTGGGGTATGTAAGTAATCTGAACTCATATACTGCTGTACTGTAGCTAACTGCATCTCTAGTTTAGGCCACTTTCCTCATGTCCTGTTCACCTAGCTCTTCCATCTGAACTTCTGTTTGATCCTAGTTTTTTGTTTTGTTTTTTTTTTACCAGTGCTCAGAGCTTTTTGTCAATATGCTGCTCTCCTTTCTCAAGGGGTGTGTTACATGAGTCTTAGCAGGTGTCATCCATAAGCCAGATCTGCAACCACTGCGGTCTGGATTTAAGTTTTTGCTGTTATTTTACTGATTAAGTTGAGATTTCATGAGGATAGGCATTCCCACTAGCCCCTTATTAAGCCAAAACTGGCATATTCCCAGGACTATCAAAGATACATATCAGACCTGATAAAGACAGACCATTTCTCCAGTTCAGTGTAGATACCAGTCAGATACAAGAAAAGCATGTAAAAGGAAGCAGGCCCTTGCATCACAGTTGTTACTGCAGCTTGGATTTTGTCCTCTCAGAGGACACAACCTACAGTTTGTTCACTGACAACTGGAAAATAGGAGGGAAGAACAAGATAGCAGTCATCACTCTGCTACTGATAAAGATGGAAAGACTAATGCATTTAAGATATTACCTGTCCAGCCCAAGTATCCTTGTTTGTCTTTGTTAGCTAACCTGCATGTCCCTCTGGTTCCATAGTTGGTCCCTTCTGCCCCTGCCTCACCAAACAGACAAAAGATGTACTCAAAAGCTAGCCTTGAATGTTCTGCACTGTAGGAGCTCCTCTGGATGTGACTCAGACTCATCTCTTGTGTTTGTGTGGCAGGTATCAACATAGGGACAGGGCATACATAATGTGAGAGCGCTCTACCTAAGCAATCAGCCTCTGTTTGCTGTCTTATTTCCTAGTCACATGTGTCAGGTTACTGACTTGCTGAGAGGCTGGATGTAGTTTCCTCTGTATTTTTCCAGGCAAATATTAGTTGTAGCCAGAAGAATTTGTGCAGCAAGGTACTGTGTCCTACTTCATTGCTCATTTTTGAGACCCACCTGTCTGCAGAAGACTCACTCTGAGATGCTCCCTGAAGGGAAGTTGGGAGCAGGTATTTTATTACTTCAGTTTTTCTTTAGAATCTAAAAGAGCAAAATCAAGCAGTGTATGGATGGTTTTCTCTGTTTTAATATAAAATAAGTATTTTTCCAACATCTTTTTAAACTAGGACAAAAATCATTCCCAGACCTTGTTCCTTTAGAAAAGCCTTCTAAGTTTTAAGTCTTAAATTCCACAAAAAGGAAAAAAAAAATAGCCATTAGTCTTAACAGGTGTTTCACAAAATTCCCCTTAAGTAGACCAGGTGCACCCAAACTATAGTATATTTTCTGTCCAACCTTCATAAAAAACAGAGGCTTATTAAGACTTACAAAGTATGTGCAATGCTGTAGAGTCAGGTACAGCAGTAACAGGCAGGAGATCACAGTTGGGTTCAAGCCAAACTGAAATGAGGTGCAGCTTAACAGTGGCTGATTTTCCATGTTGATGAATGAGTGATAACCAATGCCTTGTTTTCCTTGCAGTGGACAAAAAAAAAAGAAGTCTTGATGAGCTCCTGAGAATTGTATTCAGTGCTCCTTGGCCAGCATGGAAATTCCTAGAAGAATCTAAAGGAAGGACATCTTGTCCTGTTCCTCAGGTTAACACACTCTTTAAGAATCAGGAAAATGCACAATCTAGCTCCCTGCTGTGTGTGTAGATCTGGAAGGAGTGGAGACTTCAAACCACCGGTACAAAGTTCACAGACTTGGTGATATTTCTCAATAATAAGAAGTCCTAAACATATTCAGAAGTTCTGTTGCTGATCCTGGCTTTTGTCAGGAAGATACAAGTTTCCTTATAACCAGAGCTGGGTTTTCTATGTAAGCAAGGTCATTTCTTCTGAGGATTGGTGACTCTTCTGAGACCTCTCAATCGACTGAGCAATTCTGTAATGAAGTCCTACAAGAAGAATTGGGTGAAGAAGGATGTAATTAATGCCAGTGCTCACCAGCCCAAAGAGTACTATGGCGTTTCCATCATTCCCACATTCACCCTCACATTGAGCAGAAACCAAAGTTTTGACATATATTGAGAAAACCTATCTTTTAGCTTAGGAAAGGTGACCTTGTGATGAATAAGAAGGGTCTAAAAGCTCCTCCCCTTCCCCATCTCAGTTTGGAGCAGCCATGTTTACTTTCTCCTCAGGAGCTAGCCTGATTTCTGTATTCCAGATACCTGATTTTCCCACTGTGAGATGACCTCAGGATGCTGTTCTCTTTTAGGTTCCACTGCTTCCTGTTGCCACCATAACCTCCTGCCCACTTCTGCTGCCCTCCCAATCTAGGGCAAAGCAAGCTGTCCCTCTTGTTGGACCAGTAGAGCTCCATGTTGTGAATTGCAAACCATCCTGGAGCTGTGCCAGTTCTACAAGGAAGTGGCTGGCAGAAAAGAGGTGGAGCAAAACATGTAGGACTAATGATAATGTTGAGCAGGGATTCAGGAATAGGCAGAGCAGATAGATGAGCAGTTAATGGAGACAAACCCTGACTACTTTGCTGACACAGTCAAGGACTATGAACTAAACTGGCCTATCTGGTTATTCCAAGTAGAAGGCAATGCAACTAGCACAAATTTTACCCTCTGCATGGTAAGTAACGTCCCCATAAAGAGGTGTGCAGCCTTTCTTACCCAAAGACATCACTACATGTTCTTGTAAATAGGCAAGGTCACTGGAAATATTGCAGCTTGTTACCATTTGTGCCGTGTGGAAGCCCAGCGTCCTCACTTGAGTGATCAGAGGTTGCCACAACATGCTCTGGAAGTAAATGCCTAGGATCATACCTTTCTTTTCAGTCAGTCCTTTCAGTTTCCTGTCTGCTTTCTGCAGTTAAACTGCTGTGATCTTTCAAGGGGACTGGATTCAAGATCCCCAGGTGAAAGTATGTGTTTTTGCCAGTGGGAGAGCAGATCTGTATTCAGCAGCTACTGTGCTGCCCACAAGACACTTCCATGGCTTCTGACTTAGCAGAGCGAATTCTCTTCAGTTACCGCTTGAGATTCTTGCCTCAGATCTGACATTCAGACACTCTGAAAATCATTTCATGTTGCCAGCTTTGCTGAAAGCCCTGCTAGGACAGTGTCTGTGATGATTGCTACAGCCCAGTTTAATTTCAGTGATACTAATATTGATTCAGTGTTTGAATTTCAGTCGTGCATTCATCTGATTTTCTGTATGTTCATCACTGCACAGCTACATCAGCTTGACAACACATGGAGTCTAATGGATGATGTGCAAGCAGAATGTTCACATGCAATGCATGTGGCTGAAGCAGTGATGGGGACCACATTTTGCACAGGATTGCAATGCAGCAAAGACAATCCCTCTGTGGTGCATACACACAGTATTGCCTCCAATTGTCTGGACATTGTGGGATTTAACTGTCTATTTCAAAGTAAAAACTTGCAAAGTTATGTGGAGGAAAAACATCCATATGTAAAACTAACCTACATGGCCACTGCTCAGCAGTTATCTGCCCAGTCCATTCTACATTATTGTCACTCATAACCCTAGAGTGTTTTAAGCTAAGAATACATTCAGTTAACAGTGTAAAAATGGTTACATGAGCTACAACACTGTCTATGGCTTTTCCACACTGAGGATCAAATAGCAGCTCAGACTGATCAGCTTAGGATGTCTGAAACATGGAAAGAACTTCCGCTGATTCTAAAGCATAATTCCTTATTTGCTCTAGTGCTCTGCCTTCAGCTCATTCGTGTGCATTTATATGTAATTTTACAATCACAGAATAAAGTGGCAAACACCTCCCATTATGATTAAACAAATCTGCAGCACGGTAGTGTCTTGGCTACTCAGCCAAGCAGCAGCAAAGACACTGTAACAGAACAGTATAACATGTATACATGTAAATTTATATGGTGCTTCACTCACCTCTGTGGGGCTGGAGCACTCATGGAGGATTTCCTAAAAAACAAGGAGTTGCCATTTTAGTATTTTATGAGTTGATCTAATTCTCCCCTCCCTACAAAAAGGAAGGCACGCGAAAGTATCATGCAACACTACAAACACCTATTCTCTACCCCACATGCCACTAATCTTTATGAAGAAAACTTCACTAACTTAAAATCACCAAGTGCCTCTATCTGACCTGTAGTTTTAATTTCTGTTCTTCATTAGGGACCTCCAGGAGATCTTCAAGATCAATTTGTGGTTCAGGAGCTGCTGCCTCTGTTTCCTCCCTTAGCTAAAAAGGAAAAAAAACACCAGAGTTAATTAACCTTCAAACTTCTAAGAACTCTAGAGGCCATCTTTAAAGAACTAAGCAGCTAAGCTACAATAAAGCTATGCTGCAAAGTTGAGGCCAAGATATAAATCATCTCAAAAAAGGGAGGTTCTTGTAATGAGCACATGGATTTCAGCCCCTGTGTAGTGTCTGCTACAGCCACACATCCTGAGGTACATATTCTTCATCTTTTCCAACCACTACACTGCTCAGGGATCATCACCCATCATTGGAAGACCCTTTCAAGGATATCAAACTGCAGTGCTATGTATACCAGCCTGTGACACCCTTTCTCCATGAAGAGTTCACCAAACAGAACTCCAACAGGCTTAATCTTAGAAAGGCATAAATAATAGAAGGAGATTTTAGGTTTTTATGTTAATTGTACTCACCTACTTTGTATTTACACTAAGGCTTTTTGCAGTAATGGAGAAAAACTGATGCTATTGAAAGACCTAACAATATTTTGTCAGTTTAATATATATGAGAGGGATATAATAGTCTTGTTTAATGTAAGAGGCATCCCAAGTTTTCGTGACTGGAATAATAACCTTGTACTGCATAGGGGTGTTAGCTGGAAACATTTGTACACTTGATCACAGACACATTTTAGCTTCACAAATCTCTGCAAGGAAAGCAGCCAGTGTTTTTCCAGTGTATCTGCAAAATGAATCTTTCACAACACAACAATAGTGATATTTTGGCATAGTAATCAGTAAGATAAAGGCTACTGGGTGAACAGCACAATTCCTGATTGCTAGGTTGTGGCATTTATGGATGTGTATGTAAAACATTAAACATTCAAGGTAATACTTACAGGAAAAAAAGAAACTTTTCCTGCGCAATCACTGATACCAAGCCAGAGAGGAATTAGAAAGCCTTTATTTAGCTTTGATACACAGCTGACTTAAGAATAAATAAAAAAACAGAGTTAAATATATTGCACTGTGACCCACACAGTATTTCTTCTTAAAAATAATAGCTTTCATGTGACTTTTTAGAAAACAGGTGTTGATCCAGTCTGACTTTGTCTCTAGTTAAGAAGCCAAGTAGGCTGGGAGGGTGAGATAGGGTAGGAAATCCCTGTACATTTTAGTCCTGGTGTGGATGCTCTTCTGGATTTCATATGCAAAGAATCATCTTAAAAATCAGAGTCTGTTTTGTTGCTAAAAAGTCTCATGACAGTAAACATTCCCTGTATCAGGGGATGATGTTTGAGATAACCTTGCTGTCATTTGAATCTCTGGAAGATACCCAGGAACTTTGCACTGCCAAGGACAGGTGGAGCAAAGTAAGAGATAACAAAGAGACAATTGTAATGGAAGTCGATGGTTACAAGGAAGCCCAAAGAAGCAAGGCAACTAAATAGTCTTGTCACAATGCACAGAGGAGAGCAGGATGACCTGCTGGACATCTCTGTGATTACAAGTGATTTACTGTGGCACATGTATGTATTTGAAGAGATCCTGTTAACCGTCTCTGTAGCAAATCTCTTATGCTGGCCTGAATACATCAGGAAGCAGGGAAATCTGCTGTGCTGAAGAGATGTTAGCAAGGGCAATACACTGGCAATCTGTTCCTATAAGGACATGGCTGGGTTTCTCACTTGTGCCTGCTGGGATTCTGCAGTAGGGAAGAAGAATCCCCTTTGGGCAGCTACTCTGATGACAGTAAACAGCTCTTAATTCTCTGGAAAACAGAAGTGATAACAAACTGACTTGTTTTTCTGACACCTTTGCAAGTGAAAAGGTCTATCTACACTTCAGCAAGTAAGAGTAGCACATGGAGAACCCCATCTTGGGTCATGTTACTGGACATACCAAGTGCTTCTTGTCTGTCTCAGAAAAAACAGTGACAAAAATTTAACTCTTTAAAACTGCAGTGATTCTCAAAAGGGCAAGATGTTCTGTTACTCAAAGCAAGAGCCATTCTCCTTGCTTATCTCTAGCAAACCTCAACAGGCAGGAAGAGGACTCTGAATTGAGCTACCAGCTCCAGGCACAGTCCCTTAAATGCCAGTGCAGGCATGGTTGGGAAGCAATATTGTCACTACCAATCTTTAGAACACCTTTCACTCATCAGGACTACCATGCTAGCACTTTTCAGATGTAGCAACATTCAGACACACTGAATTTTGCCTGACTGGGTCTGCTGATAACTTCTGCTCCCATGTGCACTGTATAATGTTTCATAATGCATTATCAAGAGATCTAAGATAAAGCTGAGAATTTATTAGTACCATTTTAATAAGCTATAGAAAGCAACTAGACATTCATAACTAACTTGGAGAGATTAGTCATTTTTACTGAGCAAGCTATGTTTGGGAAACCTAAAGCAGTTAACAGAACAGAAGCAGTAATATACTTATTTTCAGAGGAGCCATGCATTTGCAGCAGAAGGAAGGACCTTTTTCTCCATATTTGTTTTCTGCCTGTTCTTTGCATAAGGCATAAATTAAAACAGAAATGATCTATTTTTATCTCCCAACATGGCATCAGAATCTGGCACGTTCCCACACAAATGTCAAATATGAAACAGTCACACAGAAAGTTATTACAATAATGATTATCATAATAAAAACAACAGCAACAACAATAACAAGGACAGACTTAGAAGCAGTTCCTGAAGTCTGCATCGTCAGCTGTGAAAGTGACATCATTCTATAACTCTCAGGCCCAGAAAAATCAGCCTGGACAGACAAAAATTTCTTTCTACCATCGTGGCAAGTAGCACCCACCATTTGTGGCCTGTTCTAACACGTCCATTTCACTGTTGATTGCAATTTGAAACTGATGATGCTCAGAGCGGAAGACTCTAAACAATCATCAGCTCTTATTTCCTTGTATCTCAAAAGTGTGCTTAACACTGCACTGGGGTGCAAATACAGAATACAGGAGAGAAAGGGCCTGGAGTTCATTTAGTCCATCCCCATCCAGGACATAAATAAGCAGTTTTACACAATTTGTTAAACCCATCTGTGTCATCTGTTGAAAATGGAGATTCTCGATCCTCTGTGAGTCAAGAAAGCTGTATTCTCTTACTGTATCAGCCACTGCCCTAAAGAGAAAAGCAAAACCCTTAAAGCTATTTAAATGTGTATAAAATCATGGTGTACAATGGGGGAAAGTCTTTCATCTTTTACTGTACTTCACTCCAAAGGATGATCTCAAACACAGAAGAACACACTATTGCTTCTGAAAGCACCCAGCATGTGTCATGCAGCTAAGGACAATAGATGAATAGAAGTGATAGTACAGAGTTAAAATTTCAATATATCCAGACAGTGCTGGAACTGGAACGTCACTAACTCAGTGAAAAAATGCAACAGCTGAAGTAAAAACCTGTACCATTCCGGTGCTACAGGCACTCCTAGATCTTTCCTACTGAGACAGCTCTCCAGGCAGGCAGGAAGAATTTGGGAGGGACTATTCCTGGTCCAAAGGGAAGCTCAGGCAAGGGAGACAGCTCTGAGGATTAGTGAAAATGGAGGCATAAGATCTCTACATTTGAGCAAAGAGGTTTTTTTCCCAATCTTCCCTCTTGCCAGTAGTGTGTCCAGACTCTACAGTTATAGACACAGCACATTCCTAAGTGTCTTATTCAAATAGCAGGTAGAGCCTCACTGTTGTGTCAAAAAGGAACAGGGTATGATACCCTGATCACTCTAACCCAGCTAGATTAGATACTACTCACTACAAAGCCACTCACCACATGGAGTTCAGCAACAAGAATCATCCTGGGTTTATACATCTCTCTAGGTTGTGCTACTCATGCTGAGCAATAGCTACACCCCCTCAGTGGGTTCAACCCCAGGCAGTTCAAAGCCAGTTGGATTGCATCAGTGCAAGCTTCCCTGCCTGCCGACACACCAGTCAGAGTGCTGCAGAGGGGGCATGGAGATATCTGCTGGAAGTTGAAGAAAAGGAACTACTTCCAGTGAAGCAGAGCAAGCAAACCTCTGTGCCAGCACACAGGCCTCTAGATCCATTCACCTGCCAAGCAAGTGGTTCATGTGCCCAGCTACTCACCCGGCATTGGTACAGCTCCTGCAGCTGAGTGTTGATCCATTCCTCCAGGTCTAGCCAGCGCTGTAGGTCTTTGCGGTTGTACTTTATGGTCAGCTTGCCCAGTTTCCTGTGTGATGATTCCTCCCCAGGTTTCTCTGGTGTCTGGAAAGTCACCCGGGGCAGTGCACTGGAGTTGCTGGCCATCCTCACCGCCTCCTCCTCTGACAGCAGGAGCTCACCTTCCTCGGGGCTCCCTCACGCCTTTTCTCTGTCTCCTTTAACCAAAGCCTCTCTGCAACCAGTGTCCTCCAGTACAAGCTAGTTACAGGCACCAAAGGTGGGAGGCATTGGTGGTCCTAGGGAGAGAGTTAGGGGTGGTCACAGAGCTGGGGCAGCAGCCAGGCTCTGCAGGCAGAGTTACAGCTGCAGACTCTTGTGTTTCACCATCAGATGTGCTGACAGGAGCACGGAGGTAGGCAGAGTTGTTGTAATAACATCTGTTGTTAAAAGAAGCCAAGTGAACCAGGGAATTGATGAACCATGTTTGTTAATATTTAACACAAGTCAGGTCCAAGAGGTGGGGAAGAAGGAGGTTTTAAATTACTGTTTTCCTACAGGCATAACTTACATGCATGTGCAATTCCAGAGGGCTGATCCATACATAATGCATTGAATCTGCTGCAGTTCATACTCTGAAAACTGCCTGCAGCTACAGGGTTTAGCTCCCTTTGAGATGGTATATTTGGCATTTTCCAGGTAATGCACTGGACCCAGCACAGATAAGAAGTATTCTGGAATCAGGCAGCTCATTCATTATTTTATAGAAGTAGGTCAGGAAATGACACTGCAACCCAAAGTTGAGCCCAGCAGTTCC